CACCCAGGTTGGAGTGCAGTAGTGCAGTGGCACGATCATAGCTCACTGCAGCCTTGACCTCCCGGGTTCAAGTGATTCCCCCACCTCAGCCTCCTGCCTAACAGCATGCCACCAAGCCTCACTAATTTTTGTAGCTTTTGTAGAGACAGGGTCTTGCCATGTTGTCTGGGCTGGTCTCAATCTCCCGGACTCAAGCAGTCTGCCCGCCTTGGCCTCCCAAAGTGCTAGGACTACAGTCACCACGCCTGCCCCATCTTTTCTTTTTCTTTTTATGCATTTCAAAGTAGCTGGCAAACATCACGATAAGCACTTCAGCATGCATATCATTAGCTGGAGTTGAATATGTGTTTACGGCTTCTTTTTAGGCAGGGGAAATTTACACAGTGAAATGCACAACTCTTTAGTGAACATTCACTGATGGCTAACAACCGCAGACACATGTGTGAGCCAAAGCCCCTTAGAGAGATATAGAATCAGGTGGGCATGGTGGCTCACGCCTGTCATCCTAGCACTTTGGGAGGCCAAGGTGGGTGGATCAACTGAGGTCCGGAGTTCAGGACCAGCCTGGCCAACATGATGAAACCCCATCTCTACTAAAAATAAAAAATTAGCCGGGTGTGGTGGCGAGCACATGTAATCCCAGCTACTTGGGAGGCTGAGGCAGGAGAATCTCTTGAAACTGGGAGGCAGAGGTTGCAGTAAGCCAAGATCACACCACTGCACTCCAGCCTGGGCGATAAAGCGAGACTCCATCTCAAAAAAAAAAAAACAAAAAACTATGTATATATAATCTGGCTGGCCGGGTGCAGTGATTCATTCATGCTTTGGGAGCACTTTGGGAGGCAAAGGTGGGTGGATGGCTTGAGGCCAGGAGTTCGAGATCATCCCAGGCAATGTGGTGAAACCCCATCTCTAGTAGAAATATGAAATATTAGCCGGGCATGGTTGCAAGACAGCACCACTGTGCTTCCACCTGGACACAGAGTGAGACCCTGTCTAAAAAAATAAAAGGACTGATGAATGGATAAAGGGACAGATAGATACATGATGGGACAATTAGGGTCAGATGCCAGTAGTAGCATCTGGGAGGCGGCTATATGTGTGTTCATGGTACAGTTCTGTTAAACTTCTCTGAATGCTTGAAAAAGTACAAGATAAAAATGTTGGCAAAATTAATTGCCAGTGATTTCTCTTTCTGACTTTTTTTTGTTTGTTTCTGTATAGAGACAGGGTCTGGCTCTGTTGCTCAGGCTGGAGTGCAGTGGCGTGATCATAGCTTTCTGTAGCCTCAACTTCCTGGGCTCAAGTGATCCTCCTGACTCAGCCTCCCCAATAGCTGGGATTAACACGCCCAACTAATTTAAAAAATTTTTTGTAGAGCACTTTGGGAGGCCAAGGTGGGTGGATCACCTGAGGTCAGGAGTTCAAGACCAGCCTTGCCAGCATGTTGAAACCTCACCTCTACTAAAAATACACACACACAAAACATTTAGCTGGGCATGGTGGCACACGCCTATAATCCCCAGCTACTGGGGAGGCTGAGCCAGGAGAATTGCTTGAATCTGGGAGGCAGAGGTTGCAGTGAGCAGAGATCATGCCACTGCTCTCCAGCCTGGGTGACAGAGCAAAATTTCATGTCAAAGAAAAGTTAAAAAAAATGTTTTTTAGAGATGGGTCTTGCTCTGTTTCCCAGGCTGGTCTCAAACTCCTGAGCTCAAGGGATCTAACCGCTTCGGCCTGCCAAGGTGCTGGGATTACAGATATGAGCTACTTTGCTTGGCCTGATTTCTCTTTCTTAGTAGTACCTAAGAGAAACGTGCATCTTACAGGTGATAGTGTCCTAGGTGTGATGAAATATGGTATTATCGTCAAGAAGCTCAGCCAGGCTGGGTTTGGTGACTCACACCTGTAATCCCAGCACTTTGGGAAGCTGAGGCGGTTGAATCAGTTGAGATCAGGAGTTTGAGACCAACCTGGCCAACATGGTGAAACCTCGTTTCTACCAAAAATACAAAAAATTAGGTAGGCATGGTGGTGCACACCTGTAAACCCAGGTTCTGGCAAGCCTGAAGCATGAGAATCTCTTGAACCTGGTAGGCAGAGATTGCAGTGAGCCGAGATTGTGCCACTGCACGCTAGCCTGAGTGACAGAGCAAGATGACTCTCTCAAACAAACAAACAAAAAGAGCCGATCTCGGTGGTTCATGCCTGTAATCCCAGCACTTTGGGAGGCTGAGGCAGGCAGCTCACAAGATCAGGAGTTCGAGACCAGCCTGGCCAATACGGTGAAACACCAACTCTACTAAAAATACAAAAATTAGCCAGATATGGTGGTGCGCTCCTGTAGTCCCAGCTGCTTAAGAGACTGAGGCAGGAGAAACACTTGAACCTGGGAGGTGGAGGTTGCAGTGAGCCAAGATCACACCACTGCACTCCAGCCTGGGTGACAGAGCCAGACTCCATCTCAAAAACAACAACAACAACAGAGTAAGATCAGCAGCCAGGAACCAGGATCCTAGACACTGCCCACGGTGGCCACCACCTACTCCTTTTCTTTGAAAACTCTGGTCTCTGTCTCCTGGAATCTCCATTCTCTGATCTCCCAAGTCAACGTGGAACCCCCAGCTCCTGCCCTAAATGGCAGCATCACCTTCTTGGAGCACCCATGCCACATCCTCCTGTGGCATTGAGTATGTGGTTCCCCTACTTCCTCGCCTCCCCAACACCTGGAGGACAGAGATCAGACTCCAATCCCAGGAACCAGAAGGATGCCAATTGCACCACACTGCTGCATGCGCTGAGCCTTTGTAGGTGCTGGCATTTTTGTTTGGCTTTTTGCTGTTGTGTTTTTTTAGATAGCATCTCACTCTGTTGCCCAGGCTGGAGAGCAGTGGCTCAGTCTCAGCTCACTGCAACCGCGGCTTCCTGGGATCAAGTGATTCTCATGCCTCAACCTCCCAAGTAGCTGGGATTACAGGCGTCTGCCACCATGCCTGGCTAATTTTTTTTTTTTTTTTTGAGACAGAGTCTCACTCTGTGGCTCAGGCTGAAGTGCAGTCGCACAATCACAGCTCACTGAAACCTCTGCTTCCCGGGTTCAAGCAATTCTCCTGCCTCAGCCTCCCAAATAGGTGGGACTACAGGCATGTGCCACCACACCTGGCTATTTCTTTTGTATTTTTAGTAGAGACGGAGTTTCACTGTGTTAACCAGGATGGTCTCGAACTCCTGACCTTGTGATCCTCCCAGCTTGGCCTCCCCAACTGTTGGGATTACAGGAATGAGCCACCATGCCTGGCTAATTTTTGTATTTTTGGTAGAGACAGGGTTTTGCCATGTGGACCAGGCTGGTCTTGAACTCCTGACCTCAAATGATCTGCCCGCCTCGGCCTCCCAGAATGTTGGATTATAAGTGTGAACCAGCACACCTGTCCACAGGTGCTATTGATGCTGTTCCCTTTGCTTGGAATGCACTTCCCTACTTGGCTGCCTTTTTCTCACCTGCTCCCTCTTGCCCTCCTGCCTGTCTTCCAGCCATCTTGAAAAGACTCAGCTAGAAGACATCCCTGACTTCCTTCAGACCCTAATGCCCAGGCAACTTTGTTTCGCCATCCCGAGGCCACTCCTCCCTCCCCCAACAAAGACACTCTCCTTGGCCAAACTCCAGCCAGGCCCCTCTGAGCCCTTTCTTGGCTGGGCCTTGGCCTTGGCCCATAAAGACTTGAACAAACATGAACCTCGCTTTCAGCAGCTCAAGGCTGAAACTCTAGGATGGCCCCTGTCCCGTAAAGTGCCTGCCAAGAAAACTCAAGGCTGCCAGAAGTTACAGTTTGTTCCAGCAACACAGGACGAGAGCGCCCCTGTGTCCCAGCCTCCATGGGAGGGCAGGAACCTATGATAAGCACCGTTAGCAAACGGGTTCACGTGGACCAAGGCCCGATTCATGCGTTTTGTAACTTTTCACTCCCCAATCCTGAGTCCCTAGCCAACCCCTCCCTTTTCCATCTTTCTCCTTTTAAAACAATTTATTTATTTTTTTGAGACAGTCTTGTTCTGTTGCCCAGGCTGGAGTATAGTGGCTCGATCTTGGCTGACTGCAACCTCTGCCTCCTGGGTTCAAGCGATTCTCCTGCCTCAGCCCCCAAAGTAGCTGGGATTATAGTTGCACACCACCACGCCCGGCTAATTTTTGTATTTTTAGTAGAGATGGGGTTTCACCATGTTGGCCAGGCTGGTCTTGAACTTCTGAACTCAGATGATCCCCGTCTCGGCTTCCCAAAGTGCTGAGATTACAGGCATGAGCCACCATGTCCGGCCTTTAAATTTATTTTTTTAGAGACAGGGTCTTGCTCTGCTGCCCAGGATGGAGTGTGGTGGCACGATTGTAGCTCACTGCACCCTCAAACTCCTGGGCTCAATCGATCCTACTTCAGCTTACCAAGTAGCTTGGACTATAGGTGTGCTCCCACCACACCTAGCTAATTTTTAATTTTTTGTAGAGATGGGGTCCTGCTATGCTGCTGTTCTTGAACTCCTGGCTTCAAGCGATCCTCCCACCTTGGCCTCCCCATGTGATGGGATTACAGGTGTGAGCCACCATGCCTAGCATGCTTGCAAAACTTTCAAGTGCCACGAACCTGGCCCTGGTGGCTACTGGTGCTACCTCGATACCTTGAGCAGATGAGGAACAGGGACGGAGGGGGAGTTGTTTTTTTTTTTTGAGATGGAGTCTCACTCTGTTGCCCAGGCTGGAGTGCCGTGGCACAATCTCAGCACACTACAGCCTCTACTTTCCGGGTTCAAGCGATTCTCCTGCCTCAGCTTCCTGAGTCGCTGGGATTATAGGCGCACATCACCAATGCCTGGCTAATTTTTGTATTTTTAGTTGAGACGGGGTTTCACCGTGTTTGTCAGGGTGGTCTCGAACTCCTGACCCCGTGATCCACCCGCCTTGACCTCCCAAAGTGCTGGGATATCAGGCGTGAGCCACCGTGCCTGGCCTGAAGGGAGAGTTTTGGCTAGGTGAGGTTGATGGGGCTGATGTACTCAGTGTGAGTTGCCCCTGAGACAGGGGCCTCGGTTTCCACCTGGAGACGGCACGGCCACCCACTCTCAGAGGTAGTGGAGAGAGTCTTAGGTGACCAGGCTGGGCCAAGCTGGAGCCCACAGAGGTGGCAGGAGGCCAGTGTGGCTGAAGGGAGACAGAGTCATTAGGAACTCAGTCAGGTGAGCTCTATCAGGTGAGGGGGGTGGGGGGACACTCCTTTCTGGAGGGGCGGACCTGCTGCCTGCCCTAGGCCTGTCCCCAGCTGCTGCCTGCCCCAGCCCCATCCCTGCCTGATTCCTCATCCCACTCCAACCCCACCTCCTCCTGAGCAGGAGTCAGGCCCTTGGTTGCCATAACAACTGGATCCCGGCAGTAAAAATAGTAACTAATTTTTTATTCAACTTCTTTTGCTCTTGGAGAAGAAGAAAATCCATTTCTGGGCTTGAGTTTCACTTTGGGGGTCCCCTCTGGGGCCCTGAAATTTCCACTGCCAAGGTCTGCTTAAAGGTCAACAGCAGGCTGGGGCTGGGAGGAGGGCAGCAGGCCACGGGGCCTGGACAGGTCCAGCCCCAGCCTTCTGGGAGCTGTGGTTACCAGTGGCAGCCTGGCCGGGACAGAGGTGTTGCCGGTATCTGGGGACAGGTGTGTATCCTGGTGCAGTGGACAGTGAGGCCTGGACCTGCGGGGTCAGAGCAAGGGTCGTAGATGTCAAGGTCAGGGCAGAAGCCATCTTGGCTCGTCTTCCTTCTGTTTGACTTCTGTCTCCTGGAGGTGTGAGAAATCACCAGAACAGGAGTTCTGTGTCGGGAAATCAGCCTAGAGCCCAGAGAACTGGGCTCAGGGCAGTCCTACCCCCACAGGCTCTGTGACCTTGGGAAGGACCCCTAGCCCATCAACCTCAGTTTCCCTCATCTGCAGGAGGGCATAGGAGGCATTCATCTCTCCTATCTGAGGTCTCACTGGTTTTGTGACTTGTGATGCCCAGCAGGGAACTCATTACCAATCCTGGCTGGGACACATACATGCAGATGCCAGACACACAACAGAAACAAGACTTCAACAATGTGACTGCTCCTTACTATGCACCAGTGCTCAAAAGGCCATTTCTTCTGTTTCATTTCACTGTTTTTCTTTTTTTTTTTTTTTCCTCTTTTTTCTTTTTTTGAGACGAAGTCTTGCTCTGTCACCCAGGCTGGAGTGCAGTGGCATAATCTCGGCTCACTGAAGCCTCCGCCTCCCGGGTTGAAGCAATTTTCATGCCTCAGCCTCCTGAGTAGCTGGGATTACAGGTGTGTACTACCACACCTGGCTAATTTGTTTTATTTTTAATAGAATTGGGGTTTCACCATGTTGGCCAGGCCAGTCTGGAACTCCTGACCTCAGGTGATCCACCCGCCTTGGCCTCCCAAAGTGCTGGGATTACAGGTGTGAGACATGCACCTGGCCTTTTTCTTTTTATTAGAGATGGGGTCTTACTCTATGGCCTAGGCTGGAGTGCAGTGGTCCCGTCACAGCTCATTGCAGCCTCCAACTCCTGGGCTCAAGTGATCTTCCTGCTTCAGCCTCCTGAGGAGTTGGGACTGAAGGTACATACCACCATGCCCAGCTAATTTTTAAATTTTTTATATAGATGGGGGGGTCTCACCATGTTACCAAGGCTGATCTTGAATTCTTGGCGTCAAGCGATCCTCCTGCCTCAGCCTTCCAAAATGCTGAGATTATAGGCATGAGCAGTGGCTCGCCCCAGCCAGTTTTTTTTTTAAAAAAAGATAGATGCTGGGTGCGGTGGCTCACACCTGTAATCCCAGCACTTTGGGAGGCCTAGGCGGGCGGATCACGAGGTCAGGAGTTCAAGACCAAAATGGCCAACATGGTGAAATCCTGTCTCTACTAAAAAATACAAAAATTAGCTGGGCATGGTGGCATGGCTTGTGCCTGTATTCCCAGCTATGTGGGAGGCTGAGGTAGGAGAATTGCTTCAACTGGGACCCGGGAGGCAGAGGTTGCAGTGAGCAGAGATCACAACACTGCACTCCAGCCTGGGCTACAGAGTGAGACTATCTCAAAAAAAAAAAAAAAAAAAAAAAGATAGATATGTGAGAGAGGATTTATTTGGAGAATTGGCTCTTGTGATTATGGAGGCTGGGGTTGGAGGCTGAGATGTCCCAAAGTAGGTTGTCAGCAAGATGGAGGCCCGGGGATGCTGGGATCATGGTTCAGTCCAAGTTGGAAAGCCTCAGAACCAGAGAAGCCAATAGTGTAACTCTGGGTCCAAGGCTGAAACCCCGGGGGACCGAGGCGGGTGGGGTATGGTGGGGAAGGCAGGGGAGGGACATTGGCGCAAATCCTGAAGGCAGAGGTTGGAAAACCTGGAGTTCTAAGGTCCCAGGGCAGAAGAATATCCGGGCTCCAGCAGAGAAAGACCATCAGCTACTTATTTTTTTGAGATGGAGCCTTGCTCTGTCATCAGGCTGGAGTGCAGTGGTGCGATCTTGGCTCACTGCAAACTCCACCTCCCAGGTTCAAGCGATTCTTCTACCTCAGCCTCCCAAGTAGCTGGAATTACAGGCATGTGCCACCACACCCGGATAATTTTTGTGTTTTTAGTAGAGACAAGCTTTCACCATGTTGGCCAGGATGGTCTTAATATCCTGACCTTGTGATCTGCCCACATTGCCTCCCAAAGTGCTGGGATTACAGGTGTGAGCCACCGAGCCCAGTTTCTAATCCATCATCTGCCACTTCTAATCCACCATTCCGCCATCAGGGTAGTCCACTGGGCTTTACCTTCTAAGCATTCCTGACCCCTTCTCTGGTCCCCACCTCAGCCATCCGCACCCTACCCCCCAGCCTCCAACCCTGCCGTGGCCTCTGAAAGCATCCACCTGTAACCCTCTGATCCTCCCCAATGGGAGTGCTGAAATAAATAGATGGAGTCACTTGCAATCCCAGCATTTTGGGAGTGCTGGGGCAGATTACCAAAGGTCAGGAGTTCAAGACCAGCCTAGCCAACATGGTGAAATATGGTCTCTAGGAAAAAAATACAAAAATTAGCCGAGCATCGTGGCAGCACCTGTAGTCCCAGCTACTCAGGAGTTTGAGGCAGGAGAATCGTTTGAACCTGGGAAGCAGAGGTTGTAGTGAGCTGAGATCCAGCCACTGCACTCCAGCCTGGGCAACAGAGTAAGACCCCGTCTCAAAAGAAAAAGAAAAAAAGATGGAGTCCTTTGTCTTTTTCTTTTCTTGTCCTAACTCCCTGGAGGCAGAGGGAGTGGGTGGAATTATCTTCTGAATGTTATAGTAGAATCTCAAATAAAGCATTGTTATATATATATATATATATATATGTATTTTTTTTTTTTTTTTTTTGAGACGGAGTTTCGCTCTTGTTACCCAGGCTGGAGTGCAATGGCGCGATGTTGGCTCACCGCAACCTCCGCCTCCTGGGTTCAGGCAATTCTCCTGCCTTAGCCTCCCGAGTAGCTGGGATTACAGGCACGTGCCACCATGCCCAGCTAATTTTTTGTATTTTTAGTAGAGACGGGGTTTCACCATGTTGACCAGGATGGTCTCGATCTGTTGACCTCGTGATCCACCCGTCTCGGCCTCCCAAAGTGCTGGGATTACAGGCTTAAGCCACCGCGCCCGGCCTGTTATATTAAGAATAAGGAACAGAGGGGTGCATACCGTCTCCAAAAAATAAATAAATAAAAAAACAAAAGCAGTTTCAGCTGTGCCCTCTGAAACTTAATGTCTCTTGCTGACTTCATTTTTTTTTTTTGAGACGGAGTCATGCCCTGTCACCCAGGCTAGAGTGCAATGGTACGATCTTGGCTCACCGCAACCTCTGCCTCCTGGGTTCAAGTGATTCTCCTGCCTCAGCTTCCAGAGTAGTTGGGATTACAGGCCAGCACCACACCACACCCAGCTAATTTTTTATATTTTTAGTAGAGACGAGGTTTCACTGTGTTAACCAGGATGGCCTTGAACTCCTGACCTCATGATCTGCTCGCCTCAGCTTCCCAAAGTGCTGGGATTACAGGTGTGAGCCACCATGCCCACCTCCTATGTTTGTCTTCAACCTGGCTGCCAGCTTGGAATAACCAATGACATTAGAGATTCCCGTCTTCCTGATTGGATCAAACTCTGTGGGCACTTGGGAGTCTTTGTCAAAATGCATGTGAAGGTGACTTCCTTGCTATGGCACGCTCTGAATAAGTAGTCTTTGCATGCCCTCTTGGTCTATTGCTACAGATTGTCAGGTTTTCTGTTTTTTGTTTTTTGACACAGAGTCTTGCTCTGTTGTCCAGGCTAGAGTGCAATGGCCTCATCTTGGCTTACCATAACCTCTGCCTCTCAGGTTCAGTGATTCTCCTGCCTCAGCCTCTCAAGTGGCTGGGACTACAGGCATGTGCCACCATGCCCAGCTAATTTTTGTATTTTTAGTAGAGATGGGATTTCACTATGTTGGCCAGGCTGGTCTTGAACTCCTGGCCTAGTGATGTGCCCGCCTTGGCCTCCCAAGATGCTGGGATTATAGGCATGACTCACCATGCCCAGACTTAACTGTCATTATTTTTCTGCAGAATCTGTTTACTGCAACCAGCTTATTAGTCGGCTCCTTTTGTGTGGTTTTACATCATGAGATGGAGTCTCATTCTTGTCACCCAGGCTGGAGTCCAATGGCATGATCTTGGCTCACTGCAACCTCTGCCTCCCAGGTTCAAATGATTCTCCTGCTTCAGCCTCCCGAGTAGCTGGGATTACAGGCATGCACCCCCACACCTGGCTAATTTTTGCAATTTCAATAGGGACAGGGTTTTACTATGTTAGTCAGGCTGGTCTCAAACGCCTGGCCTCAGGTGATCTGCCCACCTCGGCCTCCCAAAGTGCTGGGATTACAGGCGTGAGCCACAGTGTCTGGCTACCAAGATATGTTTTTAACTCAGTTCCTTTTATGTCTATTACTTTAATTTTTCAAGATTCCTGTATAAATTTGCATTTTAGATCAGTGGGAGAAAAATACACTACCTAGACCTTCAAACACCATGGGTTTGAACTTCGAAGGTTCACTTATATGCAGCTTTTTTTTCAACCCAATTCAGAAGGAAAATACAGTGTTTGAGGGATGTGAAACTCGAATATACAAAGGCCCAACTTTTCGTATTCACAGTTCCCCAAGGCCAACTGCAGGACTTGAGTATGGCAGGCTTGGGTATGAGGGTGATATGGTTTGGGTCGGTGTCCCCGCCCAAATCTCATGTTAAATTATAATCCCCAGTGTTGGAGGTGGGTCTGGTGGGAGGTGACTGAATGATGGGGTTAGGTTTCTCCTTTCATGGTGTACTCATGATAGTGAGTTATCACAAGATCTGGTTGTTGAAAAGTGTGTAGCACGCCCCATCTTTCTCTGTCTTCCTCCTGCTCCGGCCATGTAAGACGTGCCTGTTTCCCCTTCCCCTTCTGCCATGATCAGAAGTTTCCTGAGGTCTCCGCAGCCATGCTTCCTGTATAGCCGGCAGAACTGTGAGCCAACTAAGCTTTTTTTTTTTGAGACACAGTTTCGCTCTTATTGCCCAGGCTGGAGAGCAATGGCTCCATCTCGGCTCACCACACCTCTGCCTCCTGGGTTCAACAATTCTCCTATCTTAGCCTCCCGAGTAGGTGGGACTATAGGCACGTGCTACCATATCCAGCTGATTTTGTATTTTTAGTAGAGATGGGGTTTCTCTATGTTGGTCAGCCTGGTCTCAAACTCCCAAGCTCAGGCAATCCACCTGCCCCAGCCTCCCAAAGTGCTTGCCTTACAGGCGTGAGCCACCATGCCCAGCTAAGAATCCCTCTATTAAAAAAAAAAAAGCATAAAATAAGTAATAAAATACTGGGCCGGGTGTGGTGGCTCACACCTGTAATCCTAGCACTTTGGGAGGCCAAAGACAGTGGATCATAAGGTCAGGAGATTGAGACCATCCTGGCTAGCACGGTGAAACCCCGTCTCTTAAAAAAAAAAAAAAAAAAAAGTAATAAAATACTGAGGCATAAGCTTAAAAAGAAATGTTCAAAATTCATATGAGGAAAACTATGAAAACATTTTTTTTCTCAACTCCTTTGCCCATTATTTTTTTAGTGAAGGGGTCTCACTATGTTGCCCAGGCTAGCCTTGAACATCTGGGCTCAAGTCATTCTCCTGCCTCAGACACCTGAGTAGCTGGGACTACAGGTACTCTTGGCTCTCAAAACTTTTTTTTTGGCTGGGTGTGGTGGCTCACGTCTATAATTCCAGCACTTTGTGAGGCCAAGGAGGGCAGATCACCTGTGGTCGGGAGTTCGAGACCAGCCTGACCAACATGAAGAAACACAGTTTCTACTAAAAATACAAAATTAGCTGGGTATGGTGGTGCCTACCTGTAATTTCAGCTATGTGGGAGGCTAGGGGCAGGAGGTTCGCTTGAACAAGAGTGAAACACCATTTCAAAAACAAACAAAACAAAACAAACAAAACAAAAAAATACTTTTTTTTCACAGTCTCACTCTGTTGCCCAGACTGGAGTGCAATGATACAATCTCAGTTCACTGCAATCTCCACTTTCTGGGTTCAAGTGATTCTCTTGCCACAACCTCCATAGTAACCAGAGTTACAGGTACATGCCATGATGCCTGGCCAATTTTTTTTTTTTTTTTTTTTTTGGTATTTTTAGTAGAGATGGGTTTTGCCATGTTGGCCAGGCTGGTCTTGAACTCTGGACCTGAAGCAATCCACCCACTTCAGCTTCCCAAAAGTGCTGGGATTACAGGCGTGAGCTAACATGCCTGGCCAAAAGTCTTTTGTTCTTTCTATAATTAGCAAGCTTTCAGGAAAAAATTCCCTCCCCTTTTCAGACACGTACACGGTGGGCTCTGTGGAAAGTTGCACAGGGAGGAGGGGGTCTTACCTAAAACAAACCCACAATTATACAAACAAGACAGGCAGCGCTTTGTGCTTGCCTAGAGACATACCCACAACTACATAGATGAAAGGGAGTTATGTAGACAGCTTTACAGATAAGAGAAGTTACTCAAACAGCTACAGATATGAGAGGAATTTTCTTTTTAAGATAGAGTCCTGCTCTGTCACCCTGGCTGGAGTGTAGTGGTGCAATCTTGGCTCACTGCAACCTCTGCCGGGTTCAAGCAATTCTCCTGCCTCAGCCTCCCAAGTAGCTGGGATTACAGGCATGCACCACCATGCCTGGCAAACTTTTGTATTTTTAGTAGAGACAGGGTTTCACCATGTTGGCCAGGCCAGTCTCAACTCCTGACCTCATGATCCACCTGCCTTGACCTCCCAAAGTACTGGGATTACAGGTGTGAGCTACCACAGCTGGCCTGGAATTTCTTACAAAAGCTTTGGGACCGGGCACGGTGGTCAAGAGATCGAGACCATCCTAGCCAACATGGACAAACCCCATCTCTACTAAAACTACAGAAAATTAGCGAAGTGTGGTGGCATGTGCCTATAGTCCCAGCTACTTGGGAGGCTGAGGCAGGAGAATTGCTTGAAGCCGGAAGCAGAGGTTGCAGTGAGCCAAGATCACGCTACTGCACTCCATCTTTGGCAACAGAGCCACACTCTGTCTCAAAAAAATAGAAAATAAAAAATAAATAAAAATTTTAAATAGGAAAAAATGCAAATATTTATCTTATCTTTCCTAGTAAACAGTACCTAGAAGCAACCAAATAACTGAGAAGGGGGAACCAATACATTTAAGGCTCAATAGAAACACAATAGTTATTTCGCAATTCCTAATAACCCTTAGGTAGCCAGTGGAGGTGGCTGACGACTGTAATCCCAACACTTTGGGAGGCTGAGGTGGGCAGATCACCTGAGGTCAGGAGTTCGTGACCAGCCTGGCCAACAAGGTAAAACCCCATTTCTACTAAAAATACAAAATATAGCTGGGTGTGGTGGCACCGGTCTGTAATCCCAGCTACTTGAGAGACTGAGGCAGGAGAATCACTTGAACTTGGGAGGCGGAGGCTGCAGTGAGCCAAGATTGTGCCACTATACTCCCACCTGGGCGACAAAGTGAGATTCCATCTCAAAAAAAAAGAAAAAAAGAACACCCTTAGGCAATGATCACCAATGACTGCTAACATCATTTTGAAAAAAAATAAGAAAACCAGACATCCTGTGCTTCTGTACTGCTGTACACGACATCACCTACGAGTAATCGTGAAAGAGAAAAAAAAGAACTTGAGTCTAAGCCTCTCGTGATCTAACAAATTACAGGACATATAAGGGCACCAGAAAAATATGTCAATGATACCACAATCAGACAGTCTGCAAAATCCAGGCTGTGAGCAATTCTACACTTCCTTCTACAAATACAATACAAACAGTGGGAGGGAGGAAGAAAGGAAGAGAGGGAGAAGGAATATAAGAATCACAACAGAGTGAAGGAACACATCACTGGTGAATGTGGCTCCTATTATCTAAACAAGAGCTCACCGAACTTCTTTCTAATTAATGTGCTTTCTCTTTTAATTGCACTGGCTTGTACGTGTCTTCTGTGCCATCCTGTTTCCAGGTCTCTGCTGGGACAAAAATAGCAACAGGAAAAGTTGCATTTTATCAGGGGCTGTGTACTGAGAAGATGCTTGACACTGTCTCTATACTTTCATATTATGTATATAAAATGAATATATGTATGTACTACATATATTTGTATGTAAAATATAAAAATATGTATATAATATATATTTCTTATATAATTATATATTTACTATATATGTAATAGAAAATAGATACATTTTGGCAGGGCGTGGTTGTTCATGCCTGTAATCCCAGCGCTTTGGGAGGCCAAGGCCAGAGGGTCATGAGGTCCCAAGTTTGAGACCAGCCTGGCCAACATGGTGAAATCCCATCTCTGCTAAAAATACAAAAATTATCTGGGTGTGGCAGTACATGCCTGTAATCCCCGCCACTCAGGAGGGTGAGGCAGGAGAATCACTTGAGCCTGGGAGGCAGGGGTTGCAGTGAGCCGAGATCATGCTGCCCTACTCCAGCCTGGGTAACAGAAAGAGACACCGTTTCCAAAAAAAAAAAAATTTTTCGCAGAGAACAGGGTCTCACTTTGTTGCTGAGATTGGTCTCGAACTCCTGGTCTCAAGCGATCCTCCCACCTCAGCCCCCCAAAGTACTGAGATTATAGTCATGTCACTGTACCTGGCCTATTTTTATTTGAATTTTTAATTTTTTTGTAGAGACAGGATCTTGCTATGTCCAAGCTTGTCTCAAACCCCTAATCTCAAGCAATCTTCCCATCTCAGTTTCTCAAAGCACTGGGATTATAGGTGTGAGCCACCGTGCTTGGCCTTGTTTCATTTTTAAGTCTTTTTTTTCTTGAGACAGAGTCTTGCTCTGTCACCAGGCTGGAGTGCAGTGGTGTGATCTGGGCTCACTGCAACCTCTGCCTCCAGGGTTCAAGTGATTCTCCTGCCTCAGTCTCCCGAGTAGCTGAGATTATAATTGCCCACCACCATGTCCAGTAATTTTTGTATTTTTAGTAGAGATGGGGTTTCACCATGTTGGCCAAGCTGGTCTCGAGCTCCTGAACTTAAATGATCTGCCCACCTTGGCCTCCCAAAGTGTGGGGATGACAGGCGTGAACCACTGCAATCAACTAGTTTTTATTATTTATTTACTTTTGTTTAATTATTTTTATTTTAGACTTCTAGGCCAATAGTAAGTTTAAAAAATAGAGATAGGGTCTTCCTATATTGGCCATGATGGACTTGAACTCCTGGCCTCAAGCAATCGATCAGCCTCAGCCTTTCAAAGTGCAGGGATTAGAGTTGTAAGCCACCATGCCCAGCCTCAGACGGCATTTCTTTTCGTTTTTGTTTTGGTTTTTTTTTTTTGAGCTCTGTTGCCCAGGCTGGAGTGCAGTGGATCGATGTCAGCTCACTGCAACCCCTGCCTTACAGGTTCAAGTGATTCTCCTGCCTCGGCCTCCCGAGTAGCTAGGGTTAGAGGTTTGTACAACCACGCCTGACTAATTTTTTGTATTTTTTTTAGTAGAGACGGCGGTGGAGCGGGGAGAGTGGGTTTCACCACGTTGGCCAGGCTGGTCTCGAACTCCTGACCTCAGGTGACTCATCTACCTCGATCTCCCAAAGTGCTGGGATTAGAGGCATGAGCCACCATGTCCAGCCTAGGATAGCGTATTTTGGTGCTGCCTTGATTGAGAGAGAGCTCTGCAGAAGGTCTGGCGTGCTCCAAATGGCCCTGAGGCCTAAAGCCATATTATGTGATATATCCCAAGGAAGATGCCACGGTGCTAGAGATAACAATGGCACGAGGAGTCTCTGGCGAGCACTAATAGAAAAGCTGCAGCTCTGGGCACCATGGCTCAAGCCTGTAATCCAGTACTTTGGGAGGCTGAATTGAGAGGATCACTTGAGCCCAGGGGTTTGAGAACAGCCTGGGCAACATAGGGAGATCCTTCCTCTACAACAAATACAAAAAACTAGCTTGGTGTGGTAGCATGTGCCTGCAGTCCCAGCTACTCAGGAGGCTGAGGTGGGAGGATCACCTAAGCCTAGGAAGTGGAGGCTGCAGTGAGCCATGATTTTACCACTGCACTCCAGCCTGGGGGTCAGAGTGAGGCCCTGTCTGGTAAGGAGGAGAGAAAGAGAGAAAAGGGGAACAAGGGAAGGATGGGAGGAAGGGAGGATGGGAGGAAGAGAAAGGGAAAGAAAGAAAAGAAAGGCTACTGCTGCAGTGTAGATGCCAAGGATTATAGAACAAAGACCCATTCTTTTTTTTTTTTTTTTCCTTTTTTTGAGACAGAGTCTCACTCTGTTGCCCACGCTGGAGTGCAGTGGCACAGTCTTGGCTCACTGCAACCTCCATCTCCGGAGCTCAAGCATTTTGAAAGGCCTCAGCCTCACGAGTAGCTGGGATTCCACGCATGTGCCACCACGCGTGGCTAATTTTTGTATTTTTAGTAGAGATGGGTTTCACCATGTTGGCCAAGCTGGTCTCAAACTCATCACCTCAAGTAATCCACCCGCCTTGGCCTCCCAAAGTGCTGGGATCACAGGCATGAGTCACCACACCCAGCCCAAAGCCCCATTCTTTAGCACATTTATGATTCAAAATGCAGCTCTTTGCATGCCACAGGGGCCTGGTAGAGAGTAAGCACTTGACCATGGGACATCAAGAGACAACCAGACTGGAGTTGTTTGTTACCAGAACCATCAAATTATAATGTTGAATGTGCAAAGCAGTAATCGGTTATGCGATGGGAATGGCATTTTTTACATAAGGCCTGAGTTTGTACAGAGGGCAAAAATAAGTTACATAAATAGGGAACCCGTACCTCCGTGTAATTTACCTTCATTGAAATAATGCCTCTCCAGGCCGGGCACAGTGGCTCATGCCTGTAATTCCTGCACTTTGGGAGGCTGAGATGGGTGGATAACTTGAGGTCAGGAATTCAAGACCAGCCTGACCAACATGGTGAAGCCCCATCTCTACTAAAAATACAAAAAAGTAGCCAGGTGTAGTGATGGGCGTCTGTAGTTCCAGCTACTCAGGAGGCTGAGGCAGGAGAATTGCTTGAACACAGGAGGCAGAGGCTGCAAACGCAAAAAAAAGAAAGAAACAGTGCCTCTCTGACTTGACTTTATAAGGTCTCTGTTTTCTTGTGTTTTTTTGGGGGGGAAGGTTTTTGGGTTTTTTGTTTTTTTTATTTTTTATTTTTGAGATAGGGTCTCACTCTGCCTACCAGGGGGGAGTACAGTGGTGCGATCTCAGCTCGCTGCAACTTCCGCCTCCCAGGTTTAAGTGATTCTGGTGCCTCAGCCTCCTGAGTAGCTGGGATAACAGGTATGAGCCACAGCGCCTGGCCGGCAGTTTGATTTTTAAAGGTCAAACCTCCCCAGACTCCTAAGGACACTAGGGCCAGACAGCACCACAGAGGATCACCTGGAACCAACTAATCAGACCCAACCCTGCTTAGATCCTCCTTAGAACAACAACGTAAAAGCCTGAATTCATGGAACGCCGTCCTGCTTTCTCATGCAGTAGCAAACTTCAGATTCCAAAGAATATTGGGGCCAAACACCATTACAATAGGCCTGGCCAGGCTCAGTGGCTCACGCCTGTAATCCCAGCATTTTGAAAGGCCAAGGACAGAGGATCCCTTGAGATTAGGAGTTTGAGACCAGCCTGGGCAGTATAGTAAGACCCCGTTTCTACAGAAAAGTTTAAAAAAATAGCTGAGGCCAGGGAGGGTGGCACACGCCTGTAATCCCAGCACTTTGGGAGGTCGAGGTGGGCAGATCACCTGAGGTCAGGAGTTGGAGACCAACCTGGCCAATATGGTGAAACCCTGGCTCTACCAAAAATATAAAAAATTAGCCAGGAGTGGTGGCATACGCCTGTAATCCCAGTTACTCAGGAGGCTTTGGCAGGAGAATCACGTGAACCCAGGAGTCAGAAGTTGCAGTGAGCTGAGATTGTGCCACTGCACTCCAGCCTGGGCAATGAAGTAAGACTTCATCTCAAAAAATAAAAATAAAACAAAATAATAAAATCAAAAACAGCTGGGTGTGGTGGCTCAAGTATGTAGTCCCAGCTACTTGGGAGGCTGAGGTGAGAGGAATACTTGAGCCCAGGATCACTTGAGCCCAGGAAGTCAAGGCTACAGTGGGCCAAGATCACCCCTCCACTCCAACCTTGGTGACAGAGTGAGGATCTGCTTCAACAAAACAAAACAAAACAAAACAAAACAAAACAAAACAAAACAAAACAAAACCCTATCCTTCACAGTAGCTCAGCGTCCCTTCTGCTGCATTCCTTGGGTAAAGCAAGTCACAAGGCAAGCTCAGATGGAAGGGGAGGGGGAAGATAGATCGCACCTCTTTTGGGAGGCATGCCAATGTCACATTGTAAATTGCATAGAGGGAAGGCATGATGGGGTGGGTTCCACTCTAATAGGAACCCAGCTGAAGACTCTTTTACTGTCCTCATGGTCCAGACCACTGAGCGGTTCTGAACTTCTGCTCCAGCTAGTGCTAATTCATGTCAGCTGCGCCAGAAGATTTTTTTCCTTACAGGCAGGGTCTCCCTCTTTGGCTAGAGTGCAGTGGCGCGCGATCTCAGCTCACTGCAACCTCCGCCTCCCAAGTTCAAGCAATTCTCCGGCCTCAGCCTCTGGAGTAGCTGGGACTTGTGCCACTACGCCCCGCTAATTTTTGTATTTTTTCCTAGGGGTTTTGCCATGCTGGTCAAGATGGTCTTGAACTCTTGGCCTGAAGGGATCCACCTACTTCAGCCTCTCAGTGTTGGGATTACAGGTGTGAGCCACTGCACCAAGCCTAGCTATTTTTTTTTATTTTTATGTATGTATTTATTTATTTTTATTTATTTGTTTATTTTGTTTTTTGTAGATGAACTCTTGCTCTGTCGCCCAAGCTGGAGTGCAATGGCATGATCTTGGCTCACTGCAACTTCCGACTCCTGGGTTCAAGCAATTTTTTTGCCTCAGCCTCCTGTGGCTGGGATTACAAGTACACACCACCAC